GATGGCCAAAAGGAAAATCAAGAAGAAGGGAGTTTGAATGTCATGGCCAAAGGTAATATTTGAGACGCCTCGGAGGAACATGGGGGGCCCTTTGACTTTTGAAGCTGGTTCATCTTCATGCTTTCTCACTTTTTGCCCTTTTGGCGTTGACTTTGAACGCAAGCACATGATGTCAACCCACATTGTTCAATCCTAACGAGCTTTTTTAAGCGGGTCACAATCTGATCCAAAAAAAGAAGAAAAAAACTGGGTCACAATCGGCTATAACTGCCCCCCATGATTTCCGAATGCTCGGACAAAGGGCAACATTAACATCGGAATCCTCGAAACATTGGTCTCCATTTATTTCACGAAAAAATTAATAATTTAAAAAATATTTTTTTGAAAATGTATTTATTATCGAAAACAATTTAAGTCCCAATTTTCGTAGAAGAAAATAATATTTTTCGTTCATTTATTTTTGTGAGAGATATAAGCGGTCGTTTTCAGAAAAATATTTTCCCAACCTTTTTATTTCCCGCAAAACAAACGGATCCCATGTTTACGAACTAAGGATTGAATTATCTTTGTCAGAGGCTTAAGGGTTTCGATTGCCACTTCCGGCCTTTTGTTTCCCTCTCTTATCGACGGCGAAGGCAAAGAAGCTGATCTTAGATAAGATAGGATCGGGAACTCATGTTGTACCCAACCCATTTCACGACCAAAAGGGTCACGAGTCAAAATCGGGAAAATTACCAAAACAGTCCTAAACCTTTTGCAATTGTGCCAATTCAGTCCTAAACCTTTTTTTTTTGCCATTTCAGTCCTAAACCTTTTACAATTGTGCCAATTCAGTCCATCCGGCCACTTTTGGCCGGGCGGCGCTGACGTGGACACGGGCCGGCTGACGTGGCATTATTTTAATATATTTTTTCCTCTCTTTTTTTTTTTCCTTCTTCCCCCAACGCAAGAAAAGCGGACGGCGGTCAATAGACGATCAAAGGAAGAAATACTTCGCTTACAAAAATCAAGCTGTGCATGGTTGACCCACGTAGGCTGCCCCAGCACCCCTCGGTGATGTGCACAGCTTGTCCTTTAATGCCGACAATCAAATGCATGCTGTTTTGTAACACTCGTAAGCACCACCAGGGGAGCTCGAGCTCAAATTAATTATTCGAGTATCTTGTCGAGCCGAGCTCAAACTCGTAAATAACTCAACTCGATAGGCTCGCGAGCCTTATCGAGTTTCTATCATTTTTTTAATTCAAAAATAAAATAATAGTGGATTAAATATACCGAAAATCTGTAAAATCACCTGACGAATCCGAATTCTTTTCGAGCTCCTTATGATCGAGCTCTATAAATTGATTTTAATTGAGTCGAGTCAATCGAGATTTCCTATCCGAGTCGAAGTTAAGCAGAAATTTAATCGAACCGAAGTCGAGCTTCGGACTTTCAACAGCTGGGCATGCAAGCCGATTCGAGCTCAAGTGCGGCAATGTACCGGCTCGGCTCGGCTCGATTACAACCCCGTGTTAAATCCGCGAGTCGCGAAAAGCGGGCAAATCAGTTCCTTGATTGGGGCAAACAGAAACACAGAAGGTGTTACCTAACTTACTCCATTAAGGATCTCCACAGAAGGGAGGATATATTGCCATCTATTAGGGTCTCCCACGCTCTTGATTAAGGGCTATGTTTCCTTCGTTTGCAAGATTCACTCCTTTTGGCCCAAATCATTATCCATACGACACTAACATATCTCTCCCCCTCTTCCTCCTTTTCTCTTTTTGGGGCCTGAGTGTTTCTAGCTTTTGGGGTTCCTAGGGTTCCTTCATGGCACAATCCCATGCCTTTTTCCACAAGTTCTCTTCTCTCCATCATCAAGAGCAATCTCTTTATGTTCCTTCAGCATGGCTGTGGGTACCCGAAAGAAAAAAAAAGAGCGGATTGGATTCTCCTACCCCTTTTTTTTTGCTTTTCCCCTTTGGTTGGTTTGGCAGGGTCATAAAGTATGAAATTCGAGGGGCCCTTTTCGTACCGCTCGAAACCATTTATCTAGACATTGGTCTGTAAAAGTCAAGCCCAACAAACAAGTAAAGGTGACTCGAGACTCATCGTTGTAGGACGTGGATCCGATACACTTAACGGTCTATATATGCGTGCTTCGTCTAGACTTTTTCTTTTGGGTCTGGTTCTATCCTATTTCTATATATCTTACAGGCCATTTTATGTGTTCTATATGCTTTGCGCAGGTTTCAAAACCCTGCTCATTTGTTCACGAGCCTCCCCACCTAGCGTCCCTGAGAAAGTGGCGAATCGAACTCCCCACCTCCCCCTTCCTAAGTGGGAAAGTGTGGCAACTGCCGATGGTTATGCTTAGTCTAGGCTAAACAAGTTAGGTTTCGAAATTAGAGAATGGAAACTTAAAAAGTTAAAAGAATGCACAAGGGCTTTGCTTTCTTGTGTCTCCTTGTCGGGTCAATGAACTTCTCAAGAGCACACCCCATTCATGGGGCTTTCGCGCTTTTTGGCGCCAAAGCACATGCGAACGCCGTGGCCTCATGATGGTGGGGTGACGTGATTACGATGTCATAACGCATGTTTAAGTCGAGACGAGCCTTAATCATCTGAAAACAATATCCTTCGAAAGAGACTTATTATATTTCATAGTGGAGAAATCGAGAAGAATGTATTACAATATGTTATCTCGATGCTGCGCTTTTCACAGTGCATAGTGCACCCCTGGCTTCTTAATGGCATGCAGGCCCATGAACAACTTGGCCTCGCGGAGATGATGATCGTGTCCCCGTATTCAGACAGCGAGAGTTCACAAGCAATTATCGAAGTTGTTGGGAGAGGAAAAGATGATGCAACGGACATTATGATTAAGATCAGCAGCCAAGAACTTAATGAAGCAGGACCAGTTCGATCATCTGTATGTGAAAAGCAGCAGCGACATAATGAAGGGCGACCGTGTACGTATATACAGGCATGTGCGTAGGCCGATGAAGTCCCGAAACCTAAGCAAAGAGAGGCAAATCATTGGTGAGTCCATGATGCTTTTTGAATCATGGCGGATCTGCTTTTGCTTTGTTCGAGCGACGTATGTACGAACGTTTGTTTGCAGCAGTGACCGATGGGTGGTTTCATCGTGGGCTTGCGGATGTGGCTGGACAAAGCATGCTTATGCAAGTTGAATGTGCATTTGTGGTCCATTGGGGTCTTTCTCTGGACTTTCTTGAGATCCAATCAAGCCAAGGCTCTGTCTACTCTTCCCAACTGTTTTGGGATCAGAGACGAGATGGTCCCGCATGATCCGTCGGATGTGGTCCATTCGTTTTGCAATCGAAAAAGATGTTTTGTAGATTGACTTTTACGGGTGATGTGATGGACAGATTGATGATCGCAGGATAGAACACTATAAGAGAATGCTTGTGTCTCTTGAATGAGATCTTGAGATCCCATATACCTCAATCTGCAATGATAATTGATTTGGTACGATAGAACGAGTGTAGGACTAAAAAACTGCAATCGATGCTCATAACCTAGAGTGGAGAGGGTTAGGGGTGATTGGTTCTAGGGCAGGGTCATTGGACCGGGTAGGGTCAATTCCTAGTTTATGGAATTGGGAACCGGCCCACCTGGTCCTGGAACCAAACTGACCGGTCCAGACCGGTTTCTAGCTAGGTCCAAGAATTGGCAGATTTTTTTTTCCCCCTTCTAATTCCCCGTAAAGGTTGCAAGTGTGTCTTAACTCTATATGCAGATATGAACGTTGCTTTTGTTCGGGTGCTCCATAAACACATCTTTGCAATTAGGAATCCCTTTTCATTTGAACAAGGTTTTGAGCACCATGTGCTTCAGGTGAGCCAAAGACAAATCTCATTCCACAAGCCATTCTCGTCCAACAAAGGATCGATCGATTGTCTCGGAATTTTTAGAATTATCTTTTCTATTGGTTTCCTTGGTTGGTAGAAAAGGAAGTAAAGTTGAGAGAAAGATATCAATATTGGATTCATCCAATGATAGATGGGATATAATTTTTCTAGCTACTGACCATGGAAAGAAATGATTTGGCTAATTGAGAGGCTATTAGGGTTTTGAAGCTTCTGCCTTCAATCATCTTTAATTTTTAAGAGAAAAAGAATTGTAAAAAAAAAATCATGTCTGGCCGATCCGGTTGATCGGGGCAGTTCAGTTCCACAACTGAAACCGGACTGATTATTGTTGGTTGCAAAAATTTGGAACCCAAAACCGGTCAGTTCGGTCCGATTCGTGGATTGGAATCGGAATGGTGCTCACCGCTTGAGAGGGTGGGGTGCTGGCTTATGAGTTAAAGCCTCTCTATTTGTTTTACTTGATGATAATATGGTGTAGCCCAGGCCTGATGTTATTTGGCCTTGGGCTTAATTTCTCGGGTCATCAAGTTAGTGTAGGTAGCGCACCTTCAGGTTTGCTCCACTTAAATCAATGCGCAGGTATCAAACTGCGATAGATTGAGGCATGATTCGATATTTAAATACGTCAACACTCCCTCGTGCATATGCTGGCTTTTGGCCTGCGGCTAAAGCATAAATCATGTGAAATTTTGTGGGATCACTACCCATTGTTATAAATACTCAAACTGTTAATGAATGTGCGGATTTGAAATTAAATACTTCACTCCCCCTAATAAAAATTTAATATTTAATCCTAATCACCACCCCGGCAGGTATCAAATGCTGAGCTGACATTTTATCATATAATCCAATGGTTTTTAACAAAATTACTCTTTGCCCAACTGTTCAGAAGAGGCAAGAGCACGAAGGGACATAAAACAAGTACATCAGTGCGAACATAACCTAAAAGGATTGAAGAAACCTACCTGCTCCGGGGGCACGTGCCCCATTGTATGAGGTGGTCCCGAACTAACGGCACATGCGAGGTTGACTCACTCGCACTCGGGGCGGGAAACACTTGCTAGAAAAAAATTGCTCTCTAGGGTGCACGATTGCTGCAAAATCAGTTCCGAGATAAGAGCGTAGATGAATGTAGATGTCGTTCGAGTCTCCTCTGGACGTTACTCTGATCTGCTCAACATCTGCAATTGAAGAATTTCGTGCCGCACATCATCTCGGTTTGAGTTTTTCATTGGCTGGCACGTTCCCAATTGACAACAGAAAACAGCCGAGCCATCCTCAAGCAGCTTATGACATTTCAGAGACGTAATCTAACTCAATATGCACATTGGTACATTAGCATTCTCTAAGCACTGCTTTCACAGGCAACCAGCTCCTCATCCTGGACTCTATGGAATAAACTCAATTTTGTAATGGCAAGAGCTTCACCAAATAGTGAAGCTCGTGTAGATTTTGTTATGTGGACTTCTACGTAGTCACCAACGGAAGGATTTCTCTTGCAAGTAGAATTATCGGCATGATCAATGACCGGGAGTTTTGCAAAACACACTCGGTGGCCTCTATCACTCTTGCCAATGAGTTCAGTGTCTGGAGCTCTCTTGTTGGGCCCTTCAACCAAAACAAGTTGGATGCTTCCAATTTGGGAATCAAAACACTGACCTGTACTCTCACGGAAAGCCTCAATAAGTTCATTCAGCCTCCTTTGCTTGACTTCTTCAGGAACATCGTCGTCATAGTTTCTATTAGCATGTGTTTTCTCTCTCATGCTATAAGCAAACATGTATGCCATATCATAACCAACTGCTCTTACAAGGCTAAGCGTGTCTTCATGCTCCTCTTCAGTTTCTCCACAAAAACCTGTGAACCAAAGAAATGAGGGGATAGAAAAGAATCAGAAAGCCTAAAAGCTTGTTAGAAGAGAAATTAAAGAACGACAACATACATTGTACGTTTTAGCATTGGAATGGCACATTAGCCATCCATGATGCCACGATTAAGCATATCTACTGATTTCCAAACCACCAATGGCTTGTGTTTCTAAATATCTTTGTACCATGTCACTTGGTATCTTTGTTAAATTATCTCGATTTTTAAGTGAAAGTGGCACAAAGTAAATAGCACATGATACCCTTGAAATAATTGCATCTGTGGTTTATTCCTACCTTTTTGCATGTTATTTAAGTTCTTTCATGTCAGGCTGGATTATGTTTGAGCTACATGCACCCATATAAAAGATCCCCACTTAAAGAGGTGACAGAATGCGATGTGGAACAATAAACAATTAAAACTAAATTAGCATCCGCAGACAGCAAACAGAACAAATAATATTAAGTCAACATGAGGAGAATAACCGACCATATTCTTAAAGAGACAGGCAAACGAAAATGAGCAACTGGAGCTACACATGCAAAGTTGGAGGATCACGCTTGAAACCAGAACGCGAAAACTGACGGGGAATAACCCGTTGTCAATCAATTTCCATATGCAGTGCGAAGGATGGAAAGTAATTTCTGCCAGATGACACTCTAATTTAAGACATCATGATAAAGGAGGATTGAGGTAAGGCAAGTGAACATTAATAAAATCTTAGTCCCTCATGATTCCAATAACAGCCTCACGATAAACCTCATAGTCATAAGATTCCCAGGCGATTAGGAGCAGGCATAGAACTGTACATTTGAGATCAACATAATCAGATTAGAGTGTTATGACATCTCTTACCACAAATAAAGTCGCTGCTTATCCCCATTTGAGGAACAATTTGCCTTATCTTTTGCACAAGGTCTAGGTATGACTCACGGGTATAGCCACGACGCATTCTCTCAAGCACTGTTGAGCTCCCTGTTTGTGCTGGTAAATGGATGTATTTGCAGACGTTATGCCTGTCTCTCATCAGGTACAGTAACTCATCAGGAAAGTCCTTAGGGTGAGGGGACGTGTATCTGAATCGCATTTCAGGAAATTCTGTGGAGAGTCTTTCTAGAAGATCAGCAAAACGCAGACCCATTTTTTTCACCTTGCACATGCTGGAAAATCCTTCACTCAATTTCCAATTTGTGCCAGGTTCAACGTCTTTTTCAAGTCCAGACGTGTCGTTGTAGCTATTAACATTCTGGCCAAGTAGTGTCACCTCCTTCACACCTTCATTTGACAACTCTTCCACCTCTCTTACGATTGACTCAACAGGGCGTGACCGTTCTCTACCTCTAGTGAAAGGAACAATGCAAAATGAGCACATGTTGTTGCAACCCCTCATTATTGAGACAAAAGCAGTAACAGAGTTCTTAGAGATTCTAACTGGACTGATATCGGCATAAGTTTCTTCAAGTGAGAGAAGAGTATTGATTCCTTTCTGACCGTAGTCAACCTCTTCCAACAATCGAGGCAAATCTCTGTAAGCATCTGGTCCGCAAACCACATCAACCATCTTATCAGAATCTAGTATCTTCTCTTTTAACCTCTCTGCCATACATCCCAACACAACTACCTTTGGAGGGCGCAACGACTGTGACCTACCAATTTTGACATTGCTCTTCCAATGTCTCTTGAGGAACCAAAAGTAGTTAAGTCTTTGCCAGACCTTCTGCTCTGCATTGTCCCTTATAGCACAGGTGTTGATAAAGATGATCTCAGCACTTTCAGGGACATCCACAACTTCACTATATCCTGCATTTTTCATGATCGAGAGGACTATCTCCATATCGTTGACGTTCATCTGACAACCATAAGTCTCTTGATAAATTCGACCTTTTGAAAGACCTTCAGCAGCTGGTACAAGACTAGTGTATTTAAGAAAAGTGAGAAAGCTTCTATAAGTTTGAGAATTACTTCTATTGAAGAACAGGAAAAAAATAAGAAAAAATAGGCTGAGTTATTTTGCCAGGCAAAAGAAGAGGGAACTTCTGTTTTCAGAAAGCAATAAGATGTCAAATAGTTTTCTAGAGCTAATCCCGACATTCTACCATAGGACGTTTATAATGCATTACTGAACCACTTCATATTCCTATAATCCTGCCTATAATGTTCTGGCTAGAATGATTGTAAACTTTCATACTTTTCAGTTGACCTGTCAGCGAAGCTTCTTGTTTTATTGTGTTTTGATGTCAACACCACACTGAGGTACAGCTTGCAAAGTCCTACATTGACCCAGACTCAAATAAAGTGAAAGGAGTATGCTACAGGTGCGCATGACAATCATTCTGTGCCCGGGAACTATTTCTACTCAGAAATGATTCTTTTTTATTCTGTGCTCAGAAATAATTTCTGAGCATTTGAAGGCGTTTGGTAACTGTCCAAAATTTCTATTCCTGGGATAGAAAAGAACAGAAATACGTTTGGTAACTACACAAAATTTCTTTTTATTAATAATATTTTAAATTGTTTAATATTTTTTTTCTTTCTACCCTTCCCTTCTTTGGCCATGGCCGGTCGGCTGGCGCCGGCGACCGGCCACGAGGCCGAGGCGTCGCGGCCCTCGCGCCGCCGCCGCCGCCCTTGCCTCACCGCCGGCCTCACCGTTGGTCGCGACGGCGAGGCCGACCTCACCGTGGGTAGCGACGGTGAGGCTCGGCCTCGCCCGATCTGGGCGAGGCCGAGCCTCGCCGTCAGTCGCGACGGCGAGGTTCGACCTCGCCCGATCTGGGCGAGGCCAACCTCGCCATGATCGACGGCGAGCCGTCTCGCCCAGGCGGCGAGGGTCCAGCCCTCACCCTCGCCTCCGCCGGCGAGGGCCGTGACGCCCTCGTCGGCCCTGGGCTATGGCCGGTCGCCGGCGACCGGCCACAGCCCAGGGAAGAACAACACAAAGAAGAAAAGAAAAAAAAGAAAAAGAAGAAAAAGAACTCATTCTCAAAATTGTGCCGAGAAACAAGAAGCAACTTTTTTTTACTTCTTGTTTCTCTTCCAAAACTGTTTCTGGGCACAAATTTTTGCAAAAATGTGCCCGGGAACAAAAAGTTTACCGAACGCATTTCTGTTCCCAAACTATTTCTAGGAACAAAAGAACAGAAATTTTCACTGTATAGCACTTTACCAAACGGCCCTACCTGTACTCATATGGTTTATTGACAGGTATGGAAGTTTGTTTTGGACAATTACTCAAGGGCCGATGTCAAACAACCAAGTTTCCATGAGCAAAATTTAGTGAAAGTAGCATTGCTCAACCAGAAAGAGAACAATAGCAAGTAAATACGACGACAGCCGCTGTTGAAGGAATGTGTACGAATTCCAATTTTTCTAGTATTTGCGAGTCATTAGAAGGGAACAAGCTCCGATGCTGCTGAAGCACACATCCAGTTGGACATCAAGTCACGGATTCATATCACCAGGCGCCTACCGCACTTCACAACATTGTACCATCCGAACCATCCCTCGCACATCAAAAGCTAAACACTTGGAGAGACGCAACCGCGATTTTACACAGCGGAGAGCAGTTGCCGAGAACGCGAGCAATCGAAAGCGCGAACAATCTAGCCAGACACTCAAGTCAGACCCTATGCACTATATAGCCACGCATCTGCATCTCCGAATGAGCATCCGGAGGCAAGCAAGAGTAGATACAGGGAAACTCACTCGGGCTGGATTTCGGCGGCGGAGAGAGACGCCGCGGACCGCGCGGCCATGAAGTCCTTCAGGCTCGGGACCTCGGAGCTCCTGCTGCCGCCGGAGAAGGAAGACCGAGAGAGTTTCCTCGAGAAACTGAGAGAGAACGAGGCCCTGCGCGGCCGCGGAGCCGGGCGGCGGCCCCAAGGCGAGTGGCGCGAGGCGAGCGCCGGCGGCGACGAGGAGGAGAGACGCCCGAGCGCGAAGCGGCAGCAGCGCCTAGGGATTCTGATGGAGGAGAGCGACGTCAGGGAAGACGCCATTGCAGTTGCAGAGCGAGAGAGCGAGCTAGAGAGAGAGAGAGAGAGAGAGAGAGAGAGATAAGCAGGGGGGATTGCGGCGGACCTGCGGCGAGCAGCGAGATGAGGGAAGCTGTAGGGGTAGTAAAGTCAATCTGGAGAAAAAAATCCATTTAATTCTTTCGAGGTATTTCGTGTCGATTTTTTTATTTCAATATCCAAAGAAAGACGGACTTTTTTTTTTGGTCATGAAAAGAAAAACAGACTTGAAAAAATCCATTCGAAATAAAAAATTCCGGGGTGAAAATCAAAACAGAAAGGGCGTTATGGTCATTTCTGCCCGCCACCCTGCTCCTCGCGAGCGTCAACGCAATTAACAGCGCGTGATGATAGTAGCTGAGTGACGTTACTGAGCACCGGCAGGTCTTAACGAACAACACCCGAAAAAGAGAAGCCAAGGAGGAAGACGATGAAGATGGACAGGTGGAGAGCTTCGGCCCGTCGCATCCTCAACCTCTCTTCGCATCCCGATGCCGCTCCTCGATTCGCCCCCAATCCAGCTCGTCGCGGCATCGTCGCTTCCGGTGAGCAGCCTCGAAGCTCGGGTGTAAGTTTTCCGTCGTTCCGAGCGTCGCTTCGCGTTCCGATGGGCAGGTTTTCGTAGCGAGATCGTGCGCTTTCGGAGCTCGTTCGTTCTCGAATGGAAATCATGTTGCCGGAGTATCATGCTGTTGTTTCGCTTTGGATTCTGTCGTTCTGGGACACTGTTTTGTGGATTTTGCTGTGGAGTGATTGTGTTCGTACGTGGAGTCCGACTACGAGATTTAGTGGGAGCGTGATGTTGTCTGTGCTCCTATGTATCATCTACGTAATGAAAAATGCGACAATCAGTTATCGGCGTGGGAGCGTGATGTTGTCTGTGCTCCTATCTATCATCTACGTAATGAAAAATGCGGCAATCAGCTATCGGCGGCGGGACTCGTCGACTGAAAGGACGTGGTTTCTGAGTGTTTTGAGTCTTTCCGTCCGATGGTCGACTATGTGATGACATGTGATTGGGTATTGCGGATTGTACGTCGGGGCAGATGACATGGCATGGGGGCAATCACCTTAACATGTTGTTTGTTTGTCTCGTCTTGATTGTTTTGTTGTTCCGCGGATGGAGATTGGACGAGCTAATTTGAGCGCAATCTGAGTGGCATATTAGAAGCAAGTTAAAACAGTAGACAGTCATTTTCTGTCCATGAATGCTTGAACTCGCTTGTAATTTGACCGTTGATTGGGTTTAGTGGACATCATGTATAATGAACACATCCTGACGGCATTGTCCTGTATACAGGCTCACTGCATTGCTCTGGTGGATCTTGCCGAGGAACTCAATGTTGTTTTGGACACAAGCAGCCTCTTTCCGTGCATTTGCAAGAGAGAGAATTTGCTTTGGGAGCAAGCTTAATCCAAAGTAGATGCTTTGGTTCCATGGCCACAAAAATTCAGAGGAACCCCAAGTTCGCTACCATAAATTCGGATGACATAAGGTATTTTAGGGACTTGTTGGGGGAGAAAAATGTTGTACAGGATGAAGACACTCTCCTGGCTGCAAATATGGATTGGATGCGTAAGTACAAAGGTTCAAGTAAGCTTCTGCTTCTGCCTCGGAGCACTAAAGAGGTCCATTTCTTTCTTCTTCTCAATATATTTGGTTATCTCTCAATGATGGAAACATCCTGCATTTGACCTCCAAAATTTCAATTCAATAGTAGATATCCTTTTTCTTCGAAAGATTTTGTAAGTTGCATATTAAGTTGTGCTCAGTTACATTTGGTTCATATGACTCTCAAGTCTCAAGTATAAGACAGTTGCTCTCCCTCTCTCTCCCTCTCTCTCTCTCTCTGTGGGTGTTTGTGCATGCGTGTCCTTGTGTCCCACATGTTCACCCGTACACATGGAGGCACACTATCACAGTCTTAACTTCTTAATAGCATTGCAGTACATTTGATCATGCACATTGCTCACATACATGAGGTCCACTCTGCCTTACATACACGTCTGCTTTGTTCATTCAGTCTTCTGCTTTGTTCATGCTGTCATATAGTTGACTCATTGAATGCTTATGAAAATTTTCTGTCCCAGGTCTCTCAAATTCTCAAATATTGTAACTCCAGATGCTTGGGTGTTGTTCCTCAGGGTGGGAACACTGGTCTTGTTGGAGGAAGTGTGCCTGTTTTTGATGAGGTACCACCTGTTATTGATCTGTTTTTCTCTTTTTGGGTGAAATCATTGCATGCGTGCTTGTGCATGCACTCACCAGTCTCCTTTTGGTCTCTTTATTATATTTCAACTTACTGCCATCTAATTATGAATGCCTGTTCTGTTATGAACGGAGATTTTTCCTTAGTCAGTGAGAAAACCAGTTAGTCAACACGTTAGGTGGCACTAGGAAGAGAGGCGCATGCTGAAGTTATTTGACACCATCGCATCATTCTCACCTATTTTCTTGTTTTACCAAACATCAGTTTTGTCTATTAAAATGTCCTTCCTGTACCTAAACGATAAGCATTAAGAACCAAGATCTGTAATTTTCACATATTGGAATTTTCCCAGATCAAACCGCCTCATACTCTTTCCTTTCATACTGCAAAAAACATGTGAGAGTGTTAGTGATTTCCTTTTTTCATTGCTTTACAGGTATCTCCATTCTGAATATCTGTTTGTAGCTGAAGATATTGACTATTGAGACTTGAGAGGATATTAATGTTTTTCAGGGGTCCGAGCAAGTAAACAAATGTTTATAATAAACAGATGAAATGTTATTTTCTATCTCTAGAATCTTGCAACTTACCAAAGAAAATCTGTTGTAGAAATTGCTAGGAACTTCTACTTGTGCTTTCTGTTGATGTGTTTTGACATGAATGACTAGCAGATAGAAAACACTATTCAGCCAGATGGCCTTTGAGAGGATGCTGAAATAAAATGTGGCGGTTAAATACACTTACGTCGCGACCAAAAAAAAAAAATACACTTATGACCCCTGAGTTTTGAGGGTTCTTTTTTTTTTTATTGAATTTTACTTGATAATACTTATGATCCTTAAATTTTTATAGGTTGTTGGATGTAGGAAGATTGTTAGAGTTCTGTGATGAAAGAAAATCAAAATCACACAATCGACAGTTGTTTACCAAACTGTAGTGTATAGTAGCCAAATCTCTCTGCAGAGTAATCGTGGGTGGGAGGAGTGTTTGAATTTGGGAAAGCTGAGACAGAGAAATTCAGCTAGTGGAACCCAAGTTGGATTCTGATTTTCTCATAGAGATTTTGCAGAAAAATGGTTTGTGTTACCTATTGTTGATCCTGAAGGTTAACAACTATTGACCCATGCCCTTATCATATGTTGTTGGCGAAAAATTGGGTGAGTGTCCTACAACTGCATTACTAATAGAATTTTTAATATTGTAAATGTCACAAAATGAAGTTTGAGCACTCAAAGTGGACAACCTCGATTAGAAATCATGTGTCTTCAACAGTAATTTTTTTTTGGACGTAAATTTAATCAGCGTAGTCTTTTGAAAGTATGCCTGATGTGTAGCTTGATTGCCTGCAATCTGAATGGCTTTTATTTATTTATTCTGCAGGTGATTGTGAACTTGGGTTCAATGAATAAAGTTATATCTTTTGACGAGGTACGTTATACAGCACGATGGAATTGTCATTTTATGCTGGTTCTCCTGCAAATAAGACATTTCTATTTCTGTCAAGGATCTGAATTTTCTCTATGTGCTTGTGAGACTTCATTGTTGAATCTTTTTAGCATCATTCTTTTCAGTGCAAAAAGGTTTTTCCCCTAAAATTATCCTATTAGGCACACTCTTTTCACCTGATACTTCATCTCCTGCTTTGGCCTTTGATAGCTCTGTGAGCTCTGTTATTGAGCAAATTGATATGCTGAAGTCGTTGATAAGATGTTCAGAAATATTTGCTTCAACTTATTTGAAGTCTTTTATTATTGCTTTACAGGTTAGTGGTATACTGGTTTCTGAAGCAGGGTGCATACTGGAAAGCTTGGTGAATTTTCTAGACAGCAAAGGGTATGTGCCTATTAGCATTGCTTTATTTCTGCAGAATTCACAGGTGATGATGTATCTCGGGGAATGAGCGGTTTTGTGATTGATGCCAATAACAGAAATAAAAGACAGATCATATTTATTTGCATAGACATAATTTTCCTGTGAAGGGAACGGCAGATTGTGTATGTGCAAATCGTGAAGTCTGCTATTTTCCCCAAACCAAATACATGCTAAATGTATCTTTATATGCTTAAATTTGTCTTCATGGAAATCGATTTCCTGATAATCCTGCTCCAGTTTGTAATTAGGAATTCCCACATATGACTTAATCATTAGATGACCTTCATCAACTTTGTCTTTAAGTACATCATGCTTCCATTCAGATTTATTATGCCACTGGACTTAGGTGCAAAGGGAAGCTGCCAAATTGGAGGAAATGTTTCGACAAATGCTGGGGGGCTGCGCCTTCTCCGATATGGCTCACTTCATGCTAATGTACTTGGTAAGTAGATCTTCAAACAGTAAAAGCAAGCTTCTGTGAACTTTTAGGGGGAAAGTGCAATGGGAGTCATAAATGTTTTCACTGTTTGTTGATTGTGTCCTAATCTTTCTCTTTTGGTTAATTGAGTCTTGAACCTTTTGAAAGAAGTGCAATCATGGCTTGATCTCATCATCGGTGTAATTTGGTCACTAGAGAAAGGACCCTTTCAGCTATTGGCTTTTCATGAAATTAAGCATGATTTTGACTATATTCAAGGAATAAAACACAAGTTTTCTGAATCATAGAGTGGCGAACTCAATTACCGAATCAATTGAAAATAATTCAGATTTCATGTAAACTGGGAGGAAAACCCAACTTTCGTTATTATGAATTTTCCTAGATTCATATGACATTCTGGTTTTATTTTTCAATTGATTCATAAATTCAATTTGTTGGCTCAATTATTGATAAAACCCATGTGTTTTTTTACTTGATTATAATTGAAATAATGATTGATTTGTGAAGAAAACCTAATGGTTGCACATCCTTCAAAAGG